CCCCAATTCTCGTACCTGTACCAGCTCGGCGGATGTCTGCCATCTGCTCACAGTCCCTGGCTCATCTCCTACATCAGCCTGCACTGTCCATCCAGCAGCCATTATCTTGTCCAGCAGCGTGATTGGCCTGGCCACACAGCCCGCTGTTCTGCAGCGCAGTCTCAATAATGGCTGCAGGGTCGCTAAGGCCAGTCTCTCCATCTTTTGTGCTGTGCACATAATCCATCCAACCCCCAGGCCCCACAAATGGTGCAGCCAGGTGCCGTGGCGTCTCCTGGTTTCTGACGGTTTTTTAATACAGTTCCACCTGGGTGTGTGGTCGGTACACAGTAAATTCTATCATTGTGGTGGCTCAGTGGCCTGACCCTCTGGGGCCATGGGCCACTGTTACTCACTTTCTAAATTACCATGGGGCATGCCCAGAGCACGGGGCTAGCCTCCTCCTCCTCTCCAGGACTAAGGCGTCTCCAGAGTGGTGGCTTTTCTTGAGATCTCATCCTCCAAATCCTTAAAACACTGTCGCAGTTCCTGCATCTCATCCTGCAGCTCCTGGACCCAGATGGCTCGCTCTGCATAGACTCTGGCAGAGCTGTGAAACAACCATCCCACAGCACCATTGCCCCAAAGGCTCTATATCCATACAGGGCCTGTTGCAACTGCAGCTACCTCTGCCATCTATCTCTGGCCATTCCTGGGAAGTGTCCACTGGGAGAGGTGGCTGCCACTTGGTATCATCTATCGTAGCCAGCCACCCTGCCATCGCTCGCCAGGTTTCAAAGGACTCCGTACCTGTCTGTGTTGAACCACCCTGCCATCTACACCATTTGTTCTGCAGCCATCCCAGGTTGAGTAGGTTCATCATCGGTTCAGGCAGCATGAAAGAGAAACCTGGAGCCCTTTGCTCCATCTCCACAGGTGAAGGGGGAGATAAGCCAGCGGGGAGTCAGTAATCTGGGCTCCCCTGCGAATCTCTACCTTCTCCAAAGCTCTCACTCCTCTCCACCACACGGTCCTCTGTTTCTCCCTCCGTCCTCTGTGATGGCGGTCGCTTTTGGCTCAGCTGTGCCTACTTACGCATGCCCACACCACACTCAGGCATGCAAATAAGACCACAGGTATGGATCATAGATGCTAATGGCGGGAGGGCAGAAAACATCTGATTGCTTCCATTCACCTACGGTCAGGAAGGACACATAACTTTCAGGGGCACAGGATAAGAGGAGGTTTGCATGGCTGCCACAAGGCCTGACCACACAAAACCAAGGGGACAAACAACTCAAAACTGGCTTTCCTCTGAGTTCTCCAGGTTGACCATTGAAGGCATCATTTAATAAAGATCATTTCATTAAGTTTTTGCATAAAAATGGTAGACTAACACCTTTATTTTCTTTTGTCCCTTCCCAAGCCACACTAAAGCAACAATTTGAAAGCTAGAAAACCAAATGAGTACTAAGTAATTTATCACTCCCAAGAAGGCAAACTAACACAGACATGGAAATAGCTGAGAAACAAACAAATTTATACCACAGACTCTCCCCACAAATAGCTCTTATAGTGGCTTATTAATACCTTTGGAAGAAGGGGTAAAGTTGGGGTTATAATCAGAAAAGTGGAAAATCTAAGAAGGAGTTAGCCCTCCAGGCCTTTTGTCCCACCCCTCTCCTCTGTAAAGACTGGAGCTTATGCTCAGAAGAGGATCTTTTGGGGTCCCTTCCCCATCAGGCTCCATTCAGAAGATTCTCTGTAGAATCTGAGCAGCTAAAGTGGAGAGACATAAGGATAGCAACCTATGGTGGCTTCCCCAAGGAAACAGGATGGTCAGAGCGCTTTACAGAGAACCTCCAGTAGCAATAACAGAGGCGTTCAGAGCCCCACTTTTAAACAGGAGCAGCAAACAAAGGTCACTCTACAGCTAGGGTGATCCTCCAAAGTCTCTAATACATTAAAATGAGTCACTGAAGAATAAGTTTATTAAGAGACTGAATCATCAACAGATAAAGAAAATATGGCATATATATATATACACATATATATGCAATAGAATATTATTCAGTTTTTAAAAGGGAAATATTGTCATATGATAAAACATGCATCAAACGTTGAGACACATTATAATTGAAGTCAGCTAATCACAAAAAGACAAACATTGCCCGACTCCACCTGTAGTCAAACTAAACATGGAAAGTTCTGGTGGCCAGGACCTGGGAGGATGGCAAAGGGGTGATTGTTGTTCACAGGTTAGGGAATCTCAGTCATAAAAGATGAAAGCTTTCCAGATAGCTATTGTACAGCAGTGTATATATAGTTAACAATACTGTGTTACACACATAAATATTAAGAGGATAAGTTATGTTACTATAAAAAGAGAGTGTGTGTGTGACTATAATAAGGTGAAGGAAGTGAAGTAGACTATAAAGAGAGCAGGGAGTCACATAGAATTATCATTAACATCCTTAGAAAAGGATGAAATAAGATGCTATTTTAAAAAAAAGGAACACCAGATAGCAAAAGAAAAAACTCTTAGAAATGAAAACTATGATATTAATGTCCTAAAAATAAGAAGTCGCTAGAAAATAAATCAGAAAGAAAGAGAAATGAAATATAGAGGGAAGATTAAAGGAAAACCAGTCCAAAGATCAAATAAAGGAAATTCCAGAAAAATAAGAGAGTAAAAGAAACCATCAGAGCATCAGAGAGTTTTTTTTTTTTTTCCTGGAATTAAAGGACATGATTTTCCAAGTAGGGCTCACATAGTACTTTGATTCTGGAGGCAAATAAATTCACATCTAGATACCTTCCCTAGCATTTCAGAACTCTAAAAAGATTCTACAAAAGCCAGGCAGGAGGGGGAGTTGCCTTCAAATGATAAATACTCAGAAGAGTTTCTCAAAGGTATTATCTAAAACTGAAAGAGCAGTGTCTTCAAAATATAATGGGATGATTTCCAACCTGTAAAACTAGCTCAACTCTTCCTTAAATGTGACAATGATTTGAAGATGTTTCAGACATACAGAATCACAGATTTTTCTACCACACCTCTCCTTGGGATGCTATTGGGGAATGTGTCTTATGCATCATGAGGAGAGGAACCAGGAAAGAGAAAGATGTGTGGCTATCTATGCGAGAGAGCGGTAAAGAGATCCAAGAATTAATGGTGAAGGAACCTCTAGCACAAACTTTCCAGTCTACCATCCCAGGTTTCGGAAGTTGAGAAAATTTCCACGAAATTGATGGAATGTCCCAAGATGAGTCTAGCTAACTGGTGGAGATTTCAGGTTGTATTAGTGATAAGTACATGGAAAAATAATCACCCATTAAAGATAATTACTAGCTCAGAATACAAAATGTTGTCAAGGAAAGGAAATGTCATCATAGGAAATTGTGTCTTAGCTATGAATATCTTTTCTCTATAATCATGATAGTTTAGTCCCTGAATGTCTCTGAACAAAGTTAATATATTTTTTGTCAGTGAGTAAGGTTAGTTAGTATGTGAGGCAGCAGAGGTTGACAGATAAAATGTAAAGCAGATCAATCCTCATCTTTACCTATGGGAAGTCAGTAGATAATGCTAAAGCAAAATAATCAAGAAATAAAATTATAAGCATCTTACATGGCCAAACAAAAATGAAATTACCCAGGTGATTTGAAAGTGGTTGCCTCTAGGTGAGGGAAAGTTTTGGTACCAAATAGTTCTCTGTGTGTACTTTTGTATAACTACCCTTGCAACCCTATTTTACTCTTAAAACTACACATGCTGCTATATGTGATTAAAGATGTATAGGGCCAAGACCTCTTCCACCACCATGTTTGAGTTTCACAAGCCTTACCTTTTTAATTTCAAGGACTTAAATTCCTCAAAGATGTTAATATATCAAAATGATTAACTGAAGGTTAAGCTGATTAGCTTTTTAGTAAAAATAAGCAATCTGAAGAATAGAAGGTAAACTGTCCTGTAATTTATATATGTGTTCATTTTTTTTTATCCATGTTGTGGGGAATATACAATGTTCAGATTTTAACTGAGATATATACAGCTGTGGGGAGCATGGAGTTGGGACGGACTGATTATATTGCTTCAGGATTGCTTAGAGTGATCAGAGTAGGTTTAATTGCTCAAAGTAGTCCCTGTATAAATTACCCCTGGGGTAATTTACAACTAGAGACTGGACTAGAAATACAAATTCAGAATGATCCCTACAGGCATAAAGATGACTTTCTTACCAAGCATGGTCTAAAGAATATAGTAAACCCAATGAAAAAAGCATAAAAACGATTTCTGATGTTTTTTTTTTTCCCTTTTAAGTTTGTGTGGAGCAACTGATTTAAGAGCTACATAGCTTGAGTATTTGGAAATCCCTGAATATGTATGAAGTGTATTATAATTACACTGCTGTGTTTATATAGAATGAAGCTAAACAGTACAGCAAATTCATTCCTTCACCGAAACATATGCTTGTGCTAGCCCTCCAAACATTTCTATTTTATTAGGAAAAACATATTTTGCAGCAGATATGTGCTGTCTGATCCTTCCCATCCTTTGGAATATACAGGACATTTGCGTAACAAAGAGCATGTGCACAGTTACAGGATACAAGGATACAAGAACAAGGCAAAATGGTGTATTCCCATGTCCTTCTCCTGAATAGCAGCAATTAAAATTCACAGCTGCTGGCTGCCAGATGTTTCTTGCATTTAGTGCTTTGTAATGTGCATCAGAATATATTGTATGACTGTGGTTTCAGTCAACTAGACAGCTTTGTATTCTAAATTCTGCAGACTAGATCTAGTGTGTATATTTTTTCTTCAGATTAGCTTCCCTTCCCATCCCCCCCTTCATTTGCTTGAGGCATTTGCAGTTCAGAAACAAAAGACATTTCCAGCTCAGAGTTTAGCTGTATCAGAGTGTAAGTGCAGGTCAGGTCTGATTTATGTGGCACGTCTGATAAGCAGGAGAGGAGAGCTGGTGAACTTGGCTTGACTTATGTCCCCTGCTTCTGTAGGCAGCCACCATCCCTCTGGTGTCAGAACTTGCCATCGGTGACATACATTTTGATGACTTTTCTCTGGACGTTGATGCCATGATCACCGCCGCTCTTCGGATGTTCATGGAGCTGGGGATGGTACAGAAATTTAAAATTGACTATGAGGTGAGGTATTCTGTCACCTATGACCCCTGAGAGGCACCAGGGACAACATGGGGGCCCCTGGAGCTTCTAGCTTCCCAAGTGCAAACCATGGGGAGATCATCCCTGCACACCTGGGGGATACAGGTCAGGGAAGGGTGTTGGTCACTGCGGGTGACTCAGACATAAGGCCTGCTTTTGAGAATGGACCACCGGACACACTACCACCGCCTGACACCACCTTCCCCTTCCTGTTTCAGACACTGTGTCGGTGGCTTTTGACAGTAAGGAAAAACTACCGGATGGTGCTGTACCACAACTGGAGACACGCCTTCAATGTGTGCCAGCTGATGTTTGCAATGCTGACCGTAAGTGTGTCAGTGGCGGTGGAAGGTCATCTGTCACTGGCGGGGCCCTCCAGACTTTCTCCTTTACATTTCCATTTTTCTGACAGATTTTTACGTGATTTACTTTATGTTGGAACTTATGGGCCCTCCTTATGGGAGTATATATTTCACAACCATTTTTCAGCTTTAACATTGTAAAATCACTGGCACGTTGAAGTAAGGAAGCCTTGGAATGACAGCTTGAGACTCTTTTCAATGTTTTATCTTGGGAAACAGTTTTTTTTTAAAAAAAAAAGGAAAAGAAAAAAGAAATGTGTGTATTCTCAAAGTAATCCTTTTGCAAAGGATGTGTGGATGAGTAACAGAACAAAGAGGACACTGGGTAAGAGGGGTTAGGGCAGCCACCATAGAGGCTGTGAACTTATTTACCACAGGAACACAGAAACCCTCGGGCAGTGGTTACCAGGAGAAATGCCCCAGGAGGCTAAGGGAAGGAGCTGGTAGGACTTTAGCTCCCGGGGCTTAGGGGTACATTAGGCTTAACCTCCCTGCTCCTGGGCAGGTGGCCAGTTTGGGTTGTGGAGATAGCATGACCAGCGGCCAGTAGCCAGTGTATTGTAAGCCTTGGAATTTAACCTAAACACAAATGATTGTGACCAAGATTGAAACAAAATCCTCTATTCATCTCCATTTGCTGGCAAGAAATACAGCTTGTTTCAGTCTAATTTCCACATATCCTGTTAAAACCATCACAAAGTAAATGTTTTTTGATTAAAATACACTAGTTTCTTTGCCTGATACATACATAACTATGTGCACACACACGTGTGTGTAAACATATTTATTTACCATATTTAAAAAAACAAGTGTTGGACTTTCATAACCTAACTAAATACTTTACATCTTTGCTCCCAGATTAAAATTTAAACCCAAATAGGAGACACCAAAGGACATACTGTGGTCTAAGTGAACAAAGACTTTTACCCCTTTTAAATGCTCTGTCCCTTTCTCTGCCTATTAAAATATTCCTCCTCTTTTAAGGCACTGATCTAATGCCAGTTTTTCTGCAGTCTCCCCAAGCATCAATAATTACTTCTTTTCTGCACTGTGTCTAGCCAACACATCTTTCTCTCTGCTGTGTATTTTAAGTCACAGATCTCTGATGTGCCTATAAAGCAAGCAGCTCAAGGCTGAAGAGATAATCTCTTATCTTTCAGCAACATTCACTGATTTGCTCCATGTCTCCTTACTGAGGGCCTCGCCAGCAGTTTGCCCTCTTATCATTCACTTGGTAGGCTTTCAACAAATGTTTGCTGGCTTGGCTTGAACTCAAAGGTTCATGTAGCATAAGAAGGTGGCATCAAAGTGTCTTCTCAGTTATAATCAGGAGCTATTTGTTTGGGCCCCCAGTGGCTTAGGGAGCAAGCTGGCCAGGTCTGGCAAAACTGGCCGGCCCTGGCCTTCTGTAACATACCCATGACAGCAGCCAGCCGCTCAAGTGAGGAAGCAGGATGCTTTGAATTATAACACTTTATTATTCAAGTGCCAACACTACTTGAAAATAATCACTTTCATTTTGCTTTTCCTTATCAGAGCTCAGGAGATAAGGAATAATTCTCTGTATACAGAGTCCCTGTGTCTGACTCAGAGAGGACATTAAATAAACATATTGCTAACCTATTGTTTTGGAAAACCTATGGATTGATGGTGAATTGCTAACATAGGGAAGCAGGAACCTTGCTCAAGAATGGAAAAGGGAATGACAGTGATTTATGGACTGGAACTGTCAGAGACAGAGACAGACTTTCATGACAGACCTTAAAATAGTTGAGTTGGGGTGGGGGAACCATAAGAATGTTGAGCTTCTTGGATGGACACTTAGGGGTCAAAGAAAATACATTCCCAGTTTGTCTGGTTTGTTTGTTTGTTTGTTTGTTTGTTTGTTTTGTTTTTTGATAAATGTTTCCATTGCTCAGACAATCTTGATTTTTTTTTTTTAAATAATACACAGTCTTGATTTTTCTCAAGAAAATAAAGATAGCAGAACTCTCAAACTGTGTCACCACGTTTGGGTTCTGATACTGTGGTTTTTTTGGCAAGTGTTCAGCAACCTTGAGGAATGACACTGCTGGAGAAGGTTTGGTTTTTGTTTTGTGTTTATTCTGCTGCAGAAAGAAGAGAGCTCACCGTTAAAATTCTCTTAGGGTGGGGGAAAGGATTGTGATATACAAACATGACTTCGGAAAGAATATATTAGTGATTGTTTTTTCTCTGTTGCATTGAATCGAGTAGCCACATCTGGAAAAGAGATTACTATTTGCCCATTAAGTTCTGTTGAACTTGACTAAGGATTCCAATAGGTTGAAAATGTCAACTTTTGTTGGTCCCTTACACAAATTGTTTGTTCTCCAATTTAACACTGGAAACCTAGATATTCAGAATGTTTGAACTAAGAAATAATTACAGAGAAAACAAGGATTGCTTGATCAGTTAAAAAAAAAAAACTAATTTTGGACCCTCCCTGGTGGCACAGAGGGTTAAAGCACAGCACCAAGAAGCTAAGGCCACTTCAGCATGAGTTTGATCCCCACCTGCCCCAGAGGTGATCCCACATGGTGTGTCAGACCTCTCCTGACTCACCCACTGCTCCCCTCAGCAGTGTACTTCCTCAATCTGCCTGTTCTGCTCCCCACTCTGTCTCTGGTGAGTCCACTCACCACCACTGCATCTCTGGCCTGTACCCCAGTTTTTTTTTTTTTAAAAAAGCTAATTTCGGCCCTTCCTGGTGGCACAGCGGGTTAAAGCACTGCACTAAGAAGCTTAAGCCACTTCCACATGAGTTCGATCCCTGCCTGCCCCGGAGGAGATCCACGTGGCATGGCAGACCTCTCCTGACCAGCCTGCTGCTCCCCTCAGCAGTGTACTTCGTCAGTCTGCCTGTTCTGCACCCCACTCTGTCCCTGGTGAATCCTCTCACCCTCTGCATCTCTGGCCTGTAGTCCAGTTCTGTATGAATAAATAAATACATCTTTAAAAAAAGAAAAAAAAGCTAATTTCAATTCTAATTTCTGGATTACTCCTGCCACCTATAGCAAAATGATAAGCTCCTTATTTCCATGAATGGTACTAATGCTTCAGGCACTCCTGAAGGCTAGAGAGTCTTTCACTACCTTTCCCTCATGAGTGGTTATATTTACTTTCCAGTGATCTCATATTCCATCACTGTATATTGATAGCGAATGCAATTTCTCTCACTGTATACCAACCTCTAGATTCAGCCTGAGTCACAAAGCCCAGAAAGCAAGGCGTACATGTGCTGAATTTTCCTCTAGATGGCACTCCAAGGCAAAGTTTACCAACCAGTTGCCAGGAAAGGAGGAAAACCCTTAGTGACCTCTGAAGTGTTTTTGTTTTTTTTTTTCCCTAGGACAGGAGATATTGTGGCACCAACACCCACATCCTTGTCTTAGGAAAGACATCGTTCACAGGTGTCTTGGTGGTGGTGATTTTTATGGATACAACACCTGAGAGGAGAAATCAAATATATAAGTAAAATGAACAACGATGTAAAAATTTAAAAAGAAAGAAAGAAAAAGCCATCAAGTCAGAAGAACTTCTTTTATTAGGATGGCCCTGCATTAGGACTGCCCCTGCCCACTGGGTGACTCCATGAATAATACAGCACTGTCTGTGTGGCTTTGTATCTGTGACTATGTGTTTTTCTAGGTCCACTGACTCTGGGAATGGAAAGTGGTGTTGTGCCACTGCTGAGCAAATTATGATATCATATGCAATAGGAAAGCAAGTAATATCCATAGCGGCTTCCTAACCTTTACCTATGAAATCATGTCCAACACAGAAAATAAGTTTATTGCCTGGGAATTATATTTGCAGAAGTGTCCAGCCACAAGTCTAAGTAACAGAGCAGTTTTGTTTCTCTAGAAATAATAATTTAAAAAAGAATGAACTGCTTTGTAGGCTAGGCAATTTAATATAAAATGGCGGAAATTTAACTCACTAGAAACTCTGTTAATGACTTACTAATTTATTCCATGCTTCTGGCTTGAAATCCAATTTTTTCTAAATCAAAGCTTCACTACTCTGTGTCTAAAGACATTGTTAGGTAGTTAAAACTTACCAAATATTTTTAATTTATTGAATAAATGCAGGCTGTTAGACTAGTTACTTCTGTGGTCAAAACAAGGCAGAAACCTGCAGCTTGAGACTAATTATACAAACTCTCTTTATTTATGGAAGCTTGTAGAATAAATATTCTGTCAAGTACATACATGGTGAGAGATAACAAACATGTTTCCTATATTCGCAATGTTGATCTAATAAAGGAAACGACCATGCTTTTGTTTGTATTCTGTAAAATAAAAGGCATGGAGAAGGGGCAAGGTTGCAGAGACATTTTTCGGTTTTATAAATGATGTATGAGCTCTGACAGATTTTCCAGGGAGAAAAAAAGGTTTCCTTAAGAGTCAGTATTCTTTACTATCCCATAAATGTACTCATTAGCACTTTGGACCATACCCTGCATGCTGTAGGGCTCAATAAAGATTCATTGAACGAGTGGATTTAGTTTAGGGTAATGTTATTCAGGGACCAGGTTGCAGAGGGTCCAGTTTTTTAGAAAAAAAAAAAAAACAAACTATAAGATGATGAACAACTATCTCTGCTAGAAATCTTGTTCTTTCTTCATATCACACTAAGGTTCAGCTAGGGTTCATATAGAATATTATGATCTTGCAGAATTCACTGGATATGAAAAGAGAAGAGCACATGATCACATTAAAATTTATGGTGGTGCTGGCGGTGTCGCGCTGGTGGGGAATTGCAGTTAAACACTAATAATAACCAAGTATCACAGCAAACACACTGACACCCCCTGACATTTACGGGGGGTTTCTTAGATCTTAAATGTGGAGGAATCATGTTTAAGTCCATATTTGTGTTGTCAACAAGGTTATTTTCAGAGATAAGCGAAGTCATTTTATTGATAATTCAAACTAGAGAGC